CCAAACACACACCCAACACACCACACACACACCACCCCACCCCCACACCCCACCCACAACGCACCCCACCTACAAACACCACGCCCACCCCCCACACACCCACCCCCACCACCCCACACCACACCCCCCCCATCACCCACACAACCCCAAAAACACCCCCACCCCCCCCACACCCACACCCCGCAACTCTACCACCACCCCACCCCACCCCAAACCCCACACCCACCCCCCCACCCCACCCCACACCCACCCCCCTCCCCCGCACCCCCACCCCCCCAGTGGAGGGGTGAGTGGGGGTGGGAGTGGTAGTGGAGAAGAAGGGGGGGATGATGGGAAGGGGTTGTGGAGGAGGTTGTTGGGTCGGTTGGTGCCTGTGAGTGCGGAGGTTTTGGAAGGGATTGAGATTTGAAGGGGTGTGTTACGGACTCAAGGTGTGTGTGATGTGCTATTTGTTTTGTTTCGGTCGGAGATTACGTACGTGTAAATCTGTATGCAACACTGTAGGCAATTTTGATCGTGGAATCTCTCTCCAAGTTGGTCCGGGTTGATGTTGTTATTGGTAGTTAAATGTAATCCGTAATTTGCAATTATCGATAATAGGGACGTCCTCGAGTTCAACGGCTCCTCCCGAAGTGTGGGTCGGCACAGCACATGGCCCCCCTGTAATGGAACCCCTGAGCCGAGCCTCAATCTGAACCCCGGGCCGCTACACCCCCTTGGCGCGCCGCCCCCACCAACACTTCAACGTCATCTCTTCTCAGGCCGAATCACAGCACCACGAGGGCGACAAATAATTAGGCCGCCCGCTGCTCCTGCGATGGCTGCTCGCTATCCTCGCTCCGGAACATACAACCCCACACCGCCATTATTATTATGACACCTCCAATCCCCCGATTCAAGCCTAAAATGGCGACTTTCCGCCCCCCTCGTTTCAGGCTTCCCAAGGCCCGCTCAGCCTTCCTGAAGCTGTTTCTCCTGTTCCTTGTCTGGACCATAATCGAGGCCCACATAAGCCACTACCGCATTGCACGCACCGAGCGAGAAGCTAAAGCCAAGGGCGTCCTGACCGCCCCAACACGCGTCTACATCGCAAGCTTGCACTGGAACAACGAGAAGATACTTCGGTCCGAGTGGAACAAGGGGGTGGTCGAGCTGGTCAAAACATTTGGGTCCGATAACGTTTTTGTCAGTGTATACGAGAGCGGCAGCTGGGATGACTCCAAGGGCGCCCTGCGCGAGCTCGACCAGGAGCTGGACAGGTTGGGCGTCCCCCGGAAGATCATCCTGGATGACGAAACCCATAAGGACCTGATCAACGGCCCGCAGCAAGAAGAAGGGTGGATCACCATTCCGGATGGTAAGAGGATGCCTAGGAGGATCCCCTACCTCTCCAAGTTGCGTAATCTGTCGCTGCAGCCGCTCCGGGAGCTCGCCATGAAACGGGATCCATGTTTGAACCATGTCCTGTTCCTGAGAGACGTTGTCTTTTCGGTGGGTTTCCACGTTTCAAACGTTAATAACTTCCTCTTTACCAATATAACCCAGGTCCCTGACGTTCTCAATCTCCTCAAAACCAACAACGGCGACTACGCCGCCGCCCTGCTCTCTCGACTTCAGCAAACCGCCCTCCTTCTACGACACCTTCGCCCTCCGCGACTCCCGCGGCCAGGAACACGCTTCCCAAACATGGCCCTACTTCCGCTCCTCCAAGTCCCGCAACGCCATGGTCAGCGCCGAGCCCGTCCGCGTCTCCAGCTGCTGGAACGGCATCGGTACGTATCCTACTTCCCCACCCAACCCCAAAAAGCCACACCCAACCACTAACTCCCCCTTTCCCTCCCCAGTCGCCATGCCCGCCTCCAGCTTCACTCGGCATCCGCGGCCTGCGCTTCCGCGGCATCCCCGACTCGCTGGCCGCCCTGCACCTCGAGGCCTCCGAGTGCTGCCTGATCCACGCCGACAACCCGGGCTCGCGCACCCGCGGCGTGTACGTCAACCCGGCCGTGCGCGTCGGCTACAACCGTCTGGCGTATGACGCTGTTCATAATAATCCTACCGGTGGGGGTGGGGGTGGGGGAAGTTGGTATGTCGTTGACGGAGGTCTATGTGGGCCTGTGGCGGAGTCGGTTGGCGAGCTGGTTTACTTCGTCGTGGTTTGCCGAACGGAGTGTTAGGGCAAGGATTGGGAGGTGGGGGAGGGGGGGCGCGGGGAGGGTGGAGAAAGGGGGGTTTTGTGTGGTGGATGAGATGCAGATTGTGGTGCAGAATGGGTGGAAGCATTTGTGATGTTTTTGGGGCGGTTTGGTTTTTTGGATTTGGGTTGTGATTTTTGAATGTGATTTCTGGATGGAATCTGTTTTGCATACTGTTTGGTTAGAGGCTTGTTACACCTGAGATAATGTGTATTTGAAAAAAAAAGGACATCCCGGGATTTCTTCCTAATGATGATGGCTGTCCTGCTGCTCTTCGGACCACACAGTCAATTGCCATCGTGGCCACCATATATTGCTTATATGAAAACCTTCCAAACACACTTTTCAATGTGGTGTTCATGTCCTGTGGTTGAAGATTAGAGGTTCTTGGTCCAAGAAAATGAGTGTAACAGCAGGTTTCACGAGTAAGCAAAAAGCCATAAACTAGTCATAAAGTGAGGAAGTGAACACAAGGTCAGCTTGAAAATACTAACCAGCCTGTTAGTATCCATTTCTTTCAATGAGTGAGCGAGGTAGAAAGTTTTTGAGGTTCTCCTTCTAGACTATCATAAAGCACTTAACCAATCTTGCCCCAAGCATTTGAGGCTGTGATACAAAAAATAACATGTTGAAAGATGCTCTTGTTACAGGCATGCGGTTTTGTGAAAGCTAAAGCGCTGCACTTTGAGGGATAGTGTTGGGAGTCAGACAGCAACCAAATCATGGAATGCAATGATTAATCCCAGTGTTGTTTTTGTGAAATCTTTCCCCGCATATTCTCAGGGCGACTTCGACTTTGGATGAAACTATCACTATCCAGCGTCTTTAGCTGTTTTCTTGCGCACAGCTTGTGTTTATTAGCGCGAATTTCTGCCCTGCCCAACCTTGATTCTTTCTTCCCATATTGCACACAAGTCGAAAGATATTTCCGCCTTCATCGCCACTCGGGTTTGAACGGTTTTTAACTTCATCCAGCTCGCATTTCGACAAGATGGAGTACAGCTTCCCTCTTCCCCTTGGATGGTAAAGCACTTACACACTGTGACCTCCGACTATTTTCAACGCGCCGGCTCGGCGCCAACGGCGGAGTAGTAAAAGCAGAGCTATCCGCAGCCCTCGAGGGTTCACAGAAAATGACATCGCCAGTTTGCCGCTCCCCGAGGGCTTTCCCTCTGTCATGCGAATTGACTTGGCCAGCGGAAACTGCACTGCTGTTTACGACGAGCCGCAAACTTCGAAAAAAGACCCGACTGCGCCTTCCAAAGTTCCTGTAACCAAGAACGAAAACCCTGTCGACTTGGACAAGCCTCTCGAGTAAGTTGGCGACCACCTTGGGTTCTGTTGTATCATTCTTTTTTAAAATCATTTCAATCAGTCGCTAACACGTTATTATTTTTCTCCTACCTCAGGATGCCTGCGAAACACAAGACGGTCAAGACCACGCGCGCCGATGAGACGGTCGCTTCGGCGACAAACAACAAGGCCGGAAACCCCGGCGGCGACCGCGAGGTCGCCAAAACCACCACCGCTGGCAATACCAGCGAAAAGAATAACGAGAAGCCAGTCCGAGAAGGCGACGTCTTTTTTCGGCGGTTGACGAGAGCGCTACCGCGGTCAAGCCGGAAGACGCGGCCAGGGTCATACGACGGTGACCTGCGAGAGGGGCATGCATTTTGATCTTCGCTCTTTTTATCATTTTACCAGGCTTTCCTTTTCATCGATGTTTTTTGCGTTTACCAATGCACTTTGCCCATCATCCTTAGTCCCTTCTTGCTAGACGAGTCGGGACCCTCCCAGCCTGCCCCCCACGACGTGAACCCGAAATAGATTAACACATAGTACTCGCAGGTCCCAGATGAGGGCGTTGCTCGAGAACGACGCGACCAATCACCCCCTTTTCCGGGAAATGCTTGCCCGCTCATGCTGTCCCCAACACACAGTGTCCAGCGCAAATGCTGGCCCCTTTGGACCCATCTGCGGAAACCCAGTAAGCGGACCTTGGCTCTTCTCCAAATCCTACCATTGCTCAAGTTCAGACCGGGTGGCGGCGACTGACGATTTTCCTCTCAGGTTTGTGGCGCATTCGGCCACACCCTCGCTGTTTGTCCCATCCCCACGACTCTAGATGGCGACATGTCTGGTTGCTTCTTCTGCAACGTGGTGGATCATGATGCAGACGATTGGTAAGTGCTCTTCTCCCATTATCTAAACGCCCAGCTGGGGTCAAAAGCTGGAAAGAGGCGTAAGTACTAACCTCACTCTCTTTACCAGTGCGATGATGGAGTGGGTTTCGCCGGCCACGCTGGTCACCCACCTCATCACCAACCGCGCCGGGATGCCTCCCTGGAACACGCGGATTGACTGGGTGACTCTCGCCATTGGCGAGTGGGATATTGGTGTGCTTTACCCAACTGCCCCTCACCCTAGCCTTTGTCTTGGCGGAGTACATCCCCGGGCCAGCGTTGGACCGAAGTTACAGGCGTCTCTCCCATCACTGATCCTCTTTTCGAGCGCGCCGACCTCAAGTCACTCAAGGCCCTTGCCAAACCTGAGCTTGGCGGCCTCCATTCTCGCCCCCCGCTCATGGAGGCGTCTCGGTCTCTGTGCTACTGCCGCCACGGCTGTTTAGACGGCCTCGAGCATGTTATCTTCAAGAACAAGGCCATCCGCAAGTATATTGCTGAGGTGAAAGTCACGTACAAGGTCAAGGGGCCCTTGCTGTCGGACCGCGAGCGCGTTCTTGCCGTGTGCCAGGCGCAAATGGCGAAGAAGACGCCCAAGCAGGTGACCAAGGAGCGCAAGGGCCGACGCGCCATGAAGAAGGAGGCCATGGCCGCCACCGCTAGCGAGAAGCACCCCACCAGTCCCAACGAGCCAAAGGACCAGGCCGTGAAGGAACATAGCGCACCTTCAGAGGCCGAGAACCCAGTGCCCCTCTCCCAGCGACTCATGGAACTTGCGGACACAGTCGGCGATGTTCTCGAAAATATCCAGAAGACGATGAAGTCCTGAGCATCCCACTGCCGGCTCTTCTTCCCACGACCGGGCCTCATCTCAACATTGTCTTTTCCGCTTCGAGTTTTGGGACGTCACCATTACGCTGATTGAGGCCAGGCGTATCTAGGTACTTGCAACTAGTACCTACTTGTTGCTTTCAGAGAGTATCTCAAAGCACAGTATATCCATCATTTCTCTTTTGCATTTCACCACACGGCACTATTCTCGAGTCAACTGCTAGTAGCGTGTTGCGAGTATGATAACGCCGGCTATCGCATTTTTGCGTTTCGGGTTGGCCTTTTCTTATCAGTTACCACCAGAGCGAAGACACCAATCCACTATTGGCTCTCGGACACGCATTATTTAGGACATGGCCTGCGGCACAGCGTTCTCAGAGCTTGGGATGGATTATTGGTCATGGGCTATTGGCTGTGAACCGTGGAGCGTGGGTTAAGGAATGGTTCCTGCTTGTTTCTTCCTTATGTCTAATGTAAAGAATTACCAGTGGCTGAGTTGGCCGGTATTACAACGTGTGATTTCCTATTCTATTACTACTCCTTCCTTCCTCGGTGCCGGCTGTGAATCCTTGACGAGTGTTCTCCCAGACGAGTCATGCTCGAAGTACTGGATCAAAACTGAGCCTGCGGGCTCTGGCCGTCGTGGCTTGGTTGGTGTGTTCCGTGCGACCCGGCCAACAGAATCGCTTTTGCTGACATCGAACCATTGCTGTTTGGTGCAACGAGCTTTCGGCCCCCTAAGCGCCCTGCCTGCCACATCTTTTCCGTGCATATTAATGACCATTCCCAACTTGGACAACTGTGACCAGGCAGTCACATACAACAGCAGCATCGGCATAACCCACCCCCAGAATCATCGCTATCGTGATTTGTGTCTGGAATGTGGGGGCTCACGCCGCCCGGACTCCCGCTCGATTTCATGGGCCCCTCCGGACGCGGCGGTCGGGTAACTGGATGGCTTTGTCTCTCGGGTCTTCGTCTAGGTCTCGGCTGGTGGCTATTAAACCCATTCGGGGCGAGAGCGGTCTGCCCCACGTCGCTGGCGGTCGAGGGGTGAGAATTCGCCAGAGGCTTGCTACTCTCTAGGGGCTCGGTCCTATCTGGGAGCTCGCTCTTGTCTAGGGGCTCGCTACTCTCCGGAATGTCGCTCCTCTCAGGGGGCTCGTTCTTCTTTTGAAGCTCGCTGCTCTCTGGGAGCTCACCCCGCCCCGGGGGCTCGTTCCTGTTTGGAGGCTCGCTGCTCTCTGGAAGCTTACCCCTCTCTGGGGGCTCGCTTTTCTCTAGGGACTCGCTCCTGTCTTGGGGATCGTTTCTCTCTAGGGGCTTGCTCGGATCGACAAGGTCGCTTCTCTTTGCGGGATCGTTCCTCTTTTGAGGCTCGCTGCTCTCTGGGGGCTCCCTTTTCTCCGGGGGCTCGCTCCTCTCTGGGGGATCGTTCCTCTCTAGGGACTCGCTCTTCTTTGGAGGGTTGCTGCTCTCTGGGAGCTCCCTCCTTTCCGAGGGTTCGCTCAGCTCTGGAAGGTCGCTCCTCTCCAGAGGTTCCTCCCTAGCCAGTGGCTTGCTTCTCACCAAAGGGCCGATCACCGGCTCGGCCGGCTTAGGTAGATCACCACTGGGTGAATCGGGGCTCGCCGAGGCACCGTCCAACCTGCTCGGCGGTTCCGCATAGATGATGCCGTCGGGCTGAAGAACGTTCAAAGTAGACTTCCTTGACAGGGAACCTATCGCCGGCGAGGTCTCCAGTTAGTGCTTGGGCTCTGTTATGGCAAACCAGTCAGATATGATCTGATGCAGGTGGGATGAGGGCGGGAGGGGGGGGTGGGGGGG